TAATTTGAAAGTATTTTTAAGCTTTTTCTTTTTCATTCTTTTTAGAGCTTTATATTGAAGAAACGACAAGTTATAGTTTAATTCAGAGCATCAAGTTTCTTATGCTATTATTAAATCGTCTTTCTCATGTTAGGACTAAATTTTTAGCTAGAATTCTGGTAGGCTGGATTGGTGGAGGTGAGGCTAAGCATCTACCATGGAAAGATAAACTGCACAGAAGTTTTCTCAGTCTTTGGTTGTAAACACAGAACTTCTGATATTTCAGCAAAGAAGACTTTTGCTTGCTTTGAGAGGACAGAAGGGCACTAAACATTTCAAGGCAAGTGAGAGATTCTAATGTAAGAATTTTCATTTACATGAGACCAACTGAAACAATTAGTTCTAGAATGCTAAATCAATAAATATACTTCAAGGGCCCCTGAGGGTGTTTGGGTTTGAGTATCTGGAGGATGACAAACTAAAATTAAATAGCACATTTTATAATATCGTAATATATTTAATATATAAATAGTATGTTTCATAAAATTGCTCACTTGAGCTGCCTCGTGCTGATGACCAGTTCTAGGGAAGTAATCTAGAAATAGATGGCTTATTTTAATTAACTAATTAATTAATTATTTTAGATAAATATACTCTCAACCTCATTTCTATTGGAGGGAAAGGCATTCAGGATTCTGAGGTCATCTTTCCCTTTCTAGGGTCACACACTGTGGCAGCTCCATCTGGATGTCACTTTCTCAAATTTTGCCTTAGATTACAGACTTCTCCTTAACCTTCTGTGAAAACACACTTCTTGGGTATCCACTTCTTTCCTACTCCATAGGTAACTAAGGCACTCCACATGCCCTCTGTAGTTATTGCTCCAGTGCACAGTTTTAATAACATTACTTCCTTGAAATGTGAGCGCATTATATGGTAATTTGTCTTTTAGGATGTTTTCCTCAATATTCTCTGGCATCAGCATCAGCTGACCTGGTTCTGGATAGAAACTCCAGTATCCCAGAAGTGCTCTGCTCACCTATAAGAGGATAAAATTCCATGGTCATAGATGCTGAGCACTTATTCCTGGAGGGTTCCACAATAGAAACATTATAATCCCTTCAATTCTATTTCTAATAGGAACTGAAAGCTGCCTAGTATATTCAGAATTGAAATTTGCTCATCAGATTCCCACTGTTTCTGAAAAGGACTTTTGAGTTTCTTTGGAATAGAATCCTAAATTGCCACATCATATATGTCCAAAGTCACCTATCACGGCCAACTGAACTTTAAGGAGTTGTTCCCAAGTGACAAATTCCCTGGAACCATTTCAGAATTGATACTTCCATTCCATCTCTTTCCTTCTCTCCCTGTCTGCAAGGTCAATGCCTTCCCTTTTCTGCTTAGGTAACTTAAAAAAAATTTAAATCTGTATGTTCTTTCTAAGGGCTTTTTACAGCAAGTTTCAAGTTATACTTGAGTAAAACCTCATGCCTCTGTGGCAATCAACAGGATGTGGAGGATAGGAAAGAGGGCATGAAAAGCATTAAGTGGCAGTATGCAGACAATTCCAGCTGACAGTTGGCTCCCATAGCATCTGTGAGGCTTCCTGCTAATTCCTTATGACTATACCTTTATGATGTCTTGTAAGATTTTTCAGAGAATTTCAAGGAATTTGGTATCTCTCAATTTTTACCCTTTGACTTCTATTTTTTAAATTCTACATATCTGAAAGATAATGAATTCAGATTAAATAAAAGGTGCCAAAATGATACATCTTTATTCTTTTGGGCCAATGGCAAAGATACTATCAATTAGGTCTACAGACAGTGGGAGTAGGATGTTGACTCAGCAGTGAGATTTCTTTTGACCCTGGGGAATTCCTTGAGTTCCCAACCAGTGCCATTTCAATTTCTTTTGACCCTGGGAAATTCCTTGAGTTCCCAACCATTACCATTTCAAAAAACATTCACTTTTTTTTTTTTTTTTAATAATTTGCAATTCCTTCATTTTAGAACTCCCTTTCCATCTACTTTCTAAAAGCAGTTAACAAAGCCAGTGTCTTTGGAGTCTCACAGTTGCCTCCTGGAGTTTGTCCTTTGCTAAATTTGTGACCTTGAGCAAGTTATTAATCTTCTTTGAGATACAGTTTCTTCTTCTTCATATTGAACAATTTAACAATTTAACATGCTTGATACTTTAAATGCTTCCTACTTTATTGGCACTAGGAAATGTTGACGTTGTTAGTACTTTAAGGATGGGTTCCCTGATTGAGCCATTACTGATAGTTTCTTCCATAACTGAAATAATTTCTATAAGACCAATTACTAGGCTTGATAGGAGGAAGGATAGGGGTGCAGTGAATCCCAGGTACCTGGGGCAAAACCAGGGAGGGGGGAGTGTGTGCAAGGAGTATAACTAGGAAATTTGAAATGGTAATAATGAATTTTTGTTAATCTCCTGTTTTTTTCCTTTGAGATAAGCTTGTGCTAAACTCTTGATTATTCACAAAGCAAGTCAGGAAAAGCAAACCTGCAAAATCCCTGAAAGTTACACTTTGATATTGGGATGCATTTCACACACTTGACATTATGTATACCCATTTAATTTAATTATTTTTTTCTGATATAAAGATTTTTTTCATCAATTGTTTGCACTTTGGCTCAGTTGTTTGAAAAAGGTGGAGCTATGCCCAATACATAAAACCTCTGTTTACTTTTCTGAGCTTTTTAAGGATGTCATGCTAGACTTATTTGACCCTGCAGGCAATGCTTTGTGAGGGATGGCGTGCACCTTCCCTGAGAGGCCAGTGGGGAGTAGGCAGCTATGTGAGTTCACTTGGCCTAAACTAACTCAATCTGGCAAGAGACTCCAGTAGCCTAAACCTGAGTCAGATGACTGGAATGAAGTCCTGATTCTTCCCTTATAAACTGCTTGTAAGTACTATAGCCTTAATTCTCTCACTTATAATTCTTTATAATTTTCTATCTTATAAGTTCAAATAGTTTCATTTGTCAGATGTAAATTCCTGCATAAGAACACTGTTGTTATTTTAGCATTCACTGCTAGGATGAACACTCAGCTAGATGCAAAATAAATTTGTTCTTTGAAGTAAATAGTCATATGAATAATTCAAAAGAACACAAGATTCTTCATAGAAGTTAAGGAAAGTAAAGCTGTTCATTTTTTAAAAGTTTAAAACCTTGAATAAAGTAAAATGGCCTTTTTATATAACAACCTAGAACACCTCCCAAAGTCCCCAATCAGGATTTAATAGGAAAAAAAAAAAAAGAATAGAGGCTTTGACTTGAGGATAAACAAAGCAGATGGACACAGTCTTTCTATGAGCAAAAATGTAGCTTCCTGGCGGAAGGCTGAATCCACTATTGTTATTACTTTTCCCTAATTCATCTCTCCTCAGGAAGCCAGTCTCAAAATCCAAGTCCAGCACTCAGGGCCTGTTTGTGGCATTGTATCTCTTTTCCTTGGGTCAGAAGGTGACTTGGAGCAAGAAGTTTAAACTGGTGACAAATGTCCCCAGCAATCTGAGCCAGGTGTTTAGACAAAGGGCCCGTCTTCTCTCAGGCCTGTCTACTTTCTGGTATATTTTAAGACTCTTTACTTGGGCAGAGAGAAACATGCAGTTAAAGAGATGAGGGCTTCAAGTAAATATACTGTTACTTTCTTTCATGAATGAATTGTTGAAATAATTTTAATGAAAAGCTTCTAAATTAAAACTGGACCAGAACACAGGAAATCTGCATTCTAATTGCAGCTCTGTCATGGACTAACTTGGTGATTTGGGGGAAGTGACTTAAATTCTCTGGGCCTCAGTTTCTTCCTTTGTAAAACTTGGGATATATTATCCAGGGCCACTTTAGGCCCTGAAAGTCTATGACTATGGAATATTTACATAAATTTACATAGGTCAGATTTGTGTTATTAAAAAAAAAAGAAGTGTGTCACATTAGATTGGGTAGAGAGAAGAGATGGGAGGGGAGGGGAGGAGAAGGGGGGGATAGGAAGGACAGCAGAATAAAGTAGACATTATTATTGCTGTATGTATATATGTGACTGTATGACCAATGTGATTCTGCAACTTGTACACTCAGAAAAATGAGAAATTATACCCCATCTGATTCAAATGTATGATATGTCAAGATCATGGTACTGTTATGTGTAACTAATTAAAACAAATAAAAGAATACTATGGAGAATCTCAAGTACATTGTATAATAGTTGGAGGAATCATTCATAATATCTGTGGGTAATAGATTTGTTCACCTTTCAGTTAGGATTTAAAATTTGGATCCAGGTTTATAGTTATTTCCCTAAATATAGTTTACTTAAGAAACATAACTCCCAATTTATAACCTTATAAAATGAGCTGCTTTTCAGCAAAGGGCTCCACACAATGTTTCTAGGTAAAATAGGAAATGATTATGGGAAAAAAATCTAAAATAATCTGATAATATGTTTTATAGGTTTCAGGTTAAGTTGGAATTTTCAAATTAGAAAGAAAATATGTAAACATATCATGTATTACACTATCATAACAATAAAACTAAAGTTCCCTAAATGTTCTTTAGAGTGGTACTATGTTAAAGTTCAATATATGCATGCTTTTCTTTATAGATAATAAATTTGTCTTTGTGGTAGAAACACTGCTTATTTTTCCAAACATCCTAATGAACCCGTTAAATGTTGTTATTTTCTTCTTCTTTTTTTCATTTTTAAAGTGATGTTTATTGAGGTATACTTTGCACTTATTAAAACCTCATTTTTAGATGTGTGGTCCTACAGATCTTGATAAATCAGTATAGGCTGGTAAAGACCATCAAAATCAAAGCACTTGACACTTCCTTTACTCTATAGAGTTCTCTTAAGTTCTTGTAACTTACACTTTCCCTTGATTTTACCTCTTCTGTCTATTCCTGAAGGTGAACCCACTAACCTTTATTTCACTATCATCAATAAATAATAATAATTATACAAGAGCAAGAGAAGGAGGAGGAACAGAGGAAGAAATGTTATAAATAAGTGGTCATGGGTTTTCTCACACTCTCTTGATTCCTTATTTTGTATTTTTCTCTTATTTTTCATTACAGTGAAGTCTATTGAGGGATTTGTATGTAACATGACTATTTATAAGGTTTGATTTATTCCACTGACATTTCTTGAGCACAAAACTTTGGGAGTATGCTGCTTGCCCTCCCTTTCCTTCAGGGAAGGTGCGACTCCATTTCTGTGTTTCTTTCTCCCATTTCCTTCCCTCACCAATATTGAATGATTCGTGTAAACATCTATGTTCCCAAGTCCTTCTAGAATTTCACTTCTTAGCATTCTGAGCAGAAAACAAGACTCCCTATTCCTCTCTCTTAAAAAGGTCTTTATAAGTAGTGTGTGTGTCTAATTCAAGTGCATGAAGTATTTGGATTAAAAGCCTGATGATATTAAAAACAAAGCATACAACTAAAATGTGCACATCCACATGAAATGAGAGATTCCAATGGGCAAAAACTACCAGGTTCTGGCTGAATGTATACTTCACCAAGTGAGATGTATTTGGTCACTTTAATGCACTTGACAGAAATTTATTTCTTTGGGGAATATAAATCCCATTCTGTCATCACAATTCCTTATAAAATTATGTCAGTACATTAGAATTTCTTTGAATTATTCTTAAGAATTTGGCATTTTATTCAAAGAAATGATGCTGTATCTCAAATGATAATGACTTCAACTTCTGTGACTTCCTACAGAGAAGTATTTCCCCCCACCCTGCCCTGCAACCTATGGATGATTACTTTCATTTATTCATAATTCCACAAACATGTACTGTTTATTAAGCACTGTTCTGAAAGATGCAAAAAAATATTTAACCCTTTCCTCCCAGGAGTTAATCATCTAGTAAAGGTGAGACAATTAAGACCAGCACAAGACTTTGTGGTCTGTGCTGTGATGGAGATGGGGCCCTGGAAGATGTCCCTGTCACATACTGCCTCAGAGGTGAAGGGCTGGGCTGGGAGCTCAGGGAAGGCTCGTAGAGGGGACAGCTGAGTGGAATCATTTCTGTGCATTAACTCTATTATTTCCCTTATCTTATTCCATTCTCTCCTTTACATGGAAATCCTTCAATTCTTCCAAGACTAATGTGCATATGCTTTGAAATCTTTTGAAATATCCTATATACCTTTGCTCTTTTTTCATTAAATAATAAATAACACCTCTTCTTCCAGTACATTTAGTGTTTAATAGATCCTTCTAGGCATTGTCCATTGTTGTGGTTTCACTTATGTAACAAATACCATTGACTTTAGTTATATCATGTGACAATTGAGGACAAAGACTCTCAAACTGAGAAAGTTAGATCCAGATCCAGTACTAAGCATATCAATGACTAATCCATGTTTATGAATAATAGTTCAAGAAAAATATATTTCTTTTGATCTTGATTGTCCAAAATCTAGCTGCTTCTCTTTGTTAATTGTCAGTTCATTGCCTAATTATATCACTCAGCCTTGCCTAATTTTTTTTAAAATTCGTTTTAGTTGTAGATGGAAACAATACTTTTATTTTGTTTATTTACATTTTTTATGTAGTGCTGAGGATTGAACCCAGTGCCTTACATATGCTAGGCGAGCACTCTACCACTGAGCCACAATCCCAGTGCCTAAATTTTTATATACATAGCAATAAACTAAAAAATATGGAACCGACTTTCATATAGATTAATTATATTTAGTGTCTTTGTTTTTAACTAAGCACCACAAAAAAAAAAAAAAAAAAAAAAACACTTGGAAGTATTTAATTCATTACTAATTGAGAGGAAAAGTTAATTTTATAATTTTCCTATTTTAAATTAAATTTATTTTTAACTGATACATAAAGTCACAGAATAGTACATATTAATGGAGTATCATGATGCATGCATATATTATGTAATCAGAGTAAACATGTACCGCTTTTTTTGTGGCAAAAAAACATTCAAAATAATTTCTTTTGTCTTTCTTTTCTTTTTGTTGGTGAGGGGTGGTGGTGGTACTGGGATTGGAACCAAGGACTTCCCACATGCTAACCTCTACTGCTGATCTATACTCTAAGTTCTATTTATTTTTATTTTGATACAGCTTTAGTCAAAAAAGACACTAGTATCTATATGAAAGTTGGTTCCATATTTTTTAGTTTATTGCTACATACATAACAATTTAGGCAAGGCTGAGTAATGTAATTAGGCAATGAACTGACAATTAACCAAGAGAAGTACCTGGATTTTGGACCATCCAGATCAAAAGAAATATATTTTGCTTAGTTACTTAGGCTGACCTCAACCTTGTGATCTTCCTGCCTCACCCTCCCCAGTAGCTGGGTTACTTATGTGCATCACTGCACCTGATTTATAACTTTTTGCCATCTATATTCACCCTACCGTGCAAGAGAACATCAGAGCTTCTTACTCCCGTCTAAGTACAGCTTAGTACCTGTTGGTCATCACTTCCTCTGCCACATTTTATTTACTGTGATTTTATTCAAGACATAAGAACACAAAAATGATTAACACACTATCCCATATTAAAAGAATCTATGTGAGAGGGATAAGATATGAACAATGGCTGTACCACAGTACAATAAATATAATGAAAGGGATGGCTTAGGAGGAGGATCTCACTCACCCATGGGAACATAGCTTGGTTTCCTGCAGGAGATGAACCCAGAACATAAATGATGGATGTGTAGCCATCAGCAGAAATGAGACAAGAGAAGAGCAAGTGGATGACATGTAGATAGAAAAAAAATACATGAAGAAGTTCTCAGAAACTTTAGTTAGCATTGTTTTGCGAGGAAGTACAACTGCTCTAATGCCTTGGGGCATGGGATGGAATGTATAATGATATTAGTTATTATAGTTTTGATAATTTATCCATTGATTAAAAACTCAGTATGTATTAGTAGTGGAGGTGGAAAGTATAGGCATTTTTTTCTTTCCCTATTAATAAAGAAAGTGAGGTGTGAAAGGAAGAAGAGATATTAAATCATAGTTGGAATAGGATTTAGAGTCAAGTAAGGATTTTTGTTTAAATTTGTTATCAGGTGGTACAGTGAGATGTTTATAGGCTTCAGGAAAGAGCACCATGCAGAGGAATATGTTGAGGAGAGACAAAGGAGGATGGGAGTTGACCATTTTATAGCAAGGCACATGTTTGGTGGAAAGGTAGTGGGGTTAGCCTTAAGGAGATTAGATATTATGTATTTGATACTAGAACAAAGAAACAAAGAGGTTGTTATAGTCTCAGATGAAGGTAATATATTTATGTTATAAGATGGGCAGTTATGATAATTCATGTCTACATACATAAACTATTTTTATTGCCTTAATTATTTTAATCCATCAATTATATTAAATTACATATACTGGGATACCTTTTATGAGCAACTGTTCTACCCTATTTCTTTTTGTTCTAATATTGCATGAAAATTATCGGTATCATTTTTATAAATTGGGAATGGTCAGGTTTTCATCACTGTGACCAAAATACCTAACAAGAACAACTTAGAAGAGGAAAGATGTATTTTGGCATGTAGAGAGGTAGAAAGAGGGAGAAGAGAGAGAAAGAGGAAGCAAGCAAGCATGAGTACCAGAAGACAAACCCTTCCAGAGCATATCCCTGACCCTATGACCTACCTTCTCCAACTATGTCCCCCATCTCAGTACTCCATTCAGCTATCAAAGGATTACTCCATCAAATGGGTTAGTCCACTAATGGACAAAGCTCTCATGTCCCTATCTTTGCCTAAAAGTCCCACCTTTGAACCTTGCTACACTGTGAACCAAGCTTTCAACATGAGCTTTTTGGGGGATATTCCAGATCTAAACCATAACAATGAAAATATATAATGTCTCCTTTCCTAACTAGACAATGTGCCGTTCTTTTGGATGACATCAGCTTTACCCTTGTACCCGTCCTTAATTGACTGTTAAAAATTCAAGTGTTACCAAATCACAACAATAAAGAGATTTACTTATAGTGGTAAGACTAGAGGTTTTTTTTGTGCTGACCAATGGTCTATACTCTGTTAATATTAATATTTAGTTTTCTGACTTTGTAAATAGTAGTATTACACTATATGTAAGGTTATATAATTTGTGGAATATGTACACTTTCTTTCTTTTGTTCTTCCTTTCTTTCTTTTTTCTTTTTCTTTTTTTTTTTTTTTTGTGGTACTGGGGATTGAATTCAGGGCTACTCAACCATTAAGCCACACCCCCAGCCCTATTTTTATTTAGAGACAGGGTCTCATGAAGTTGCTTAGTGCCTCACTTTTGCTGAGGCTGGCTTTGAACTCAGGATCCTCCTGCCTCAGCCTCCTGAGCTTCTGGGATTATAAGTGTGCACCACTGCGCCTGGCTGGAATATGTACACTTGATGTACATATTCTAAGAACTTTAGATTACAGATGGAAAAAATGTCAAATAATGCAGAGGGTGTTAGAGATAGAGAACCTACATTTTTCAGCATTCAGTCAGAGTCTTTAATTGTAAAGTATAGACAGGAGAAAGTGAAAGGAGGAGGACAGTTTTTACCATGAATACTCTACACTATATGAAAGTCATTTGTGTTTGGTGTTTTGTTCTTAGAAACTTCAGTAAGACCATCCCATGGCAGGCAGTAATCGGGGAAAGTATAATTCAATGGTGTAGAAGTTTAGAGTTTATTTTTACGTATTTTTTATTCTTGAAAGTTGCAGATAAGCATGAAGAGCTTTTTTGTTTACCCAACTAAAAATTTACTTGCAAAGAAATTGGTAACCCTGTAAGCTGGAATCAGTGCAGAGATGAAAACAAATGTAATTCCAGGCTGTGTACTATGTGACAGGGCAAGAACCAAAAATGACTTTTGGAAGGAAAAAAAATAATGCTTGTTTAACATTCAGTGACATAATTGGCCAAATATCCCTACTTTATAAGTGCCAGTTTAGACACCGAAAACAGAAAAAAATAGAAATGATGCCAATATGAAATACAGCTAG